AAAAAAAAAAACGCACAGCGAAGCACACGAAAGAAGAATTTTTTTTAAAAGAAGAAGAGAATGAGAAAATAAAGGGAAAGAATTCAGATTAACATGAAACAAAAACATCAGAGTTATCATTTCAGAACAACACCACGCACACGCACAAAATCATGCAGAGAGACTTATGGAATGGGAGCGTCTCCAATTTTTTTTTTGTTTTTTGAGGGAGGGGGGAGTGGCGTCTCACTGCAAGGCCAGTTTTTTCCCCACCTCCATTGCGTTGTCGCCAGCCTTTTCCCCACTAAAGATGCGATGAATTCTTTCGTACTTTAAAATGTCTTTTGAAGTGAGCGAAGGCCGCGTAACTGCCATCGCATTCTTAACGTCCTCCATGACGATATGGGCGACAACGTCAAGGACCTGTTTTTGCTTTTTGATACTAAGTAAGGGTTTCAAGGCGTCCTCAACCTTTTCACGCGTCGTCCCGCCCCCCACATTGGCCACAGTGAATTCACTTTCAGCATTCTCCACTTCGTTTCCACCATGCGATAATTTAGCAATGACGCGTCGGCTCACGTGGAGGTTTGCCAATGACACTAGGCCAGATAAATCCGCTGGGGTCCAGTTAACCGTTTGCCTTGCTATGTCCTCCATCTCTTCTTGCGTTAATTCTGCAGAAACCTTCTTAAAACAATTAATCAATATTTCCAAACGTTCTTCATATGATGGAATGGGACATTGAACAGCCTTGTCTAACCTACCGGGTCGAAGAAGGGCTGCATCAATGAGATCGGGACGGCTCGACGCAGCCACCACATAGACATCTTTTCGCCCCTCCACACCATCCAGATAACACAAAAGCTGATTGACGACACGATCCGTTACACCCGAGTTATCCACACCTCGCTGTGGAGCCACCGAATCGAACTCATCAAAGAAAACAACACAGGGTGCAGCCGCCTGAGCTCGCTCAAAAACGTCACGGATCTTCTGTTCACTTTGACCAATATATTTCCCAAAAACCTCGGGTCCATTGACGACGATGCAATTTAAACCCTCAGAATTCACAACAGCTTCAACCACAAAAGTTTTCCCACATCCTGGATGACCATAAAGAAGAACTCCACTACGTGTCTTCAACGGTAGCCGTGCAAAAAGTTCTGGGTGCTTCATTGGTAGTACCAGTGTGTCAAATAAAACCTTCTTTGCAGCAGAGAGGCCTCCAATCGAATCCAACGATTCCTTTTCACCCTTAAGAAAATTTATTCCAGTGTGGGATAATGGAGTAAAAGAGACTATTGCATCCTTTGCTGCATCTACGGAAGATAATTTCCCATCCCGGAGAGAAGCCTTGATGCGTACAGATATTTTTTTGATGTCGAATGGTGTAAAATTATCCATCATTGCACTCAACTTCTCCACATCATCTATTGTTTCATTTGGGAAAAGTTGTTTTACCAAGGTAAACCGTGTTTTACGATTCAATGCTTCAAGCTTAATCACCTTGGCAAAACAGCTTGCTGAGCGGAGACTTTCGTGAACATCTTCACGATTTCCACAGGTAGCCACAATAACTACAGAGCTTTGTCCATTAAGAGTAAGGACATTGTTAAAGTATCGCAGTGTATCTTCCAATATAGACTTGGTCGCCTCACTAATAGCTGTCACCGATCCTTCCTTTTGCAGTGGGGCCACCACATCAAAGTTGTCCAGGATGAGAACAGAAGGTGCACTCATCACACACTCTGCCAAAGCTTCTTGCAAGGACGACAAAAACTTTTTATCAGATGTGCACTGAACTGCACATGCATGGACATCATCAAGCTCGCCCAATACAGCATCAACAACAGTAGTCTTACCGTACCCATTCCCGCCGCACAATAGAACATTGCCATTTTTTCCTTCAAGAGAGTTGCAAGATATTGGCTCCCTCATATTTGTGAACCAAGTCTTCAAGTGCCGTAAAAGTTCACTAGCTGCAACCCCATGCACTGCCACAACTTCCTCGTAGCACAAGAGACTCTTCGCTTGGAAGAGTGAAGAACTACCACAGAGAGCAGCTCCAAGATCCTTCTCTGTGACGTTTGGCACATTATCGTCTGGATTTGGGAAAACAACCAAGTTGGAAGCTTTCTCAAAAATAGCACACGAGCACACACCATCCGGAATTCCATCAATTAACTGAATAGGCGCTTTCCAGGCATTTGACCGTAGAAAGGAGGGTGTAATCTGCTTTCCTTCAAGAAGTTGCGAAGTGCGCGCGAGATCAAAAAAACCAACAATTTGACCTTCTTTCCAATGGTAAAGCTCTGCTGTTACTGGACTGACGAGAAGTGACAACTCGGCATTCGCAGTCTTCGTTACAGCTGTTTGCTCATGACGGGCCCGCGCATGACAACGCAACATAGTCCACATTGGTGCCTCCCCACTCTGAGAGACCTGTCTCTTTTTAGTGGCAATAACAAATTCAGTTCCTTCCATCATCACAGCACATCCAGTTTTCAGCTCATGATCATGAGCATCTTCAATACGTTGGACCACGACCTTCGCATGAGCGCCATCAAAGACAACGACACTGATAGTCATACCAGGGAATACCACCTGGACATGTCGTAGCAGCTGGCCCTCAATCCGGAGAGCATTCTGTTCCACAACTTCGCTATCATCCACAGAAGCGGGAGATACCAAGACTCTAACTGCCTTGGCGGGATTGTACACAGGTACGCACTGTACAATTTCACCACCCTTTAACCCCATATCCTCACCAAGAACAATAGGTATGAATAATTTAAAAGTCTGTAAATTGTGTGGCCGACCCGTCAGGCACCCTACATAGACTTTTTTTTTACCATCGGAGAGCTGGAGTGGCACCACTGGTGGGACATTACCACCGTAGTAGGAAGTGAGACTGCTGTCAATGAACTTGGCTGAAACCGTGACAAACGAGTCTGTACGAGACGGGTCAAAGACCACTTCAAACGAAGTACGCTGCATAAGTTTCTTGAATTATTAGGAAAGCACTAAAAAATAGAAAAAAACACAAGAATGAAAGCAAAATACACACAAACACACATACATACATACGTATATACATAGCCAAGAAGGTACAATCTGCATACACCAGCTCTTTAAGCAATTCTTTGTTACCCAGTGTTTTGAGAATGAACAAGGTCAAAAACCGTGTTTAACAAAAACAAATACCACTCATTCAGGCACAAAACCCCACTTCAACTTCCAGTACTCTGCATCCTCTGTAGAGAAAACACGGCGTGGGCAGTACGTTAGTGTGAGCGCTTCGCCCGCCTCTATCGCATGCCGCGTCACGAGGTGCGCACACGGCTGCTCGGTGTCATGCCAGCCCACACCAAATTCTTTATGTTGCGCAGACGCAGGATGCGTCAGTCGCACCACAGTGTTCGGTTCAAAGCTATGCAGGCAGAAATCAATGATAGGGTACAGCGCCAGACCCCCTTGGTCGTCGGAGAGTGCGCGGGAAAGGACCATCGACATAGCCCACACCGCCGATTTTGCTGCAAAGTGCGGCAGGGTCTGCTCGATTTGCCGAAGAAGATAATGCAGACGCACCCACTCAACTCGCTGCGAAGCAGACGAAAGGCTGTTCTTCGGTAAAAATGGCGCGTTCGGGACTCCATAAGAAAGCGGAGAATTACCCATGTACAAGGTGTCAATTTCCTCTCGCAATGAGGCGCGCCACGTGTGTATGTCAGCGCCAAGATCGTCATTATCATCATCGTAGTAGACATCATGCAAAAACTCGAGGTAGCGACGGAAAAATCCACGGGGATTGTGCAGCTCACGCGCCACCACCGAGGTGAGCTCCTCCAATGGATCCCACCGATGGGCAAAGTTGGCCCGCTCGCTGTGTGGCGCAGCTGCGAGAGAAAGTGCGAGAGGAACAGAGACAAGTGTATGCCCGATCGGAATACTCCGCGTGGCGCGCAAACAACAACCACGGCCCTTGTGAAGGTGCAACCTCAATGCACAATGAACTGCGGCACCATTTCGTGCGGCCCATCGAAATAGCGAGCGTGCGGCGGGCACTCGTCGCCCAACGACACAGGGCCACACTCCCCTGTACGTCTCTCTGTTGGCGCAATAAAAGCGCCGTGGAGGGCCGTCACGGCAATGAAATTCCATGCCTGCTCCCCACCTACACTCCACCGATAGTGGGAGAGGGACGGCCACTTTCCACTAAGCAAGAAGCCACACACAGAGATAGAGATAGAGAAAGAGAGAGACAAGGGGGAAATCACTAAAGGGGAAAAAACAATCAGCAAACACATATACCCATTACAGACACACAAATACAGTGTCTCAGAAACCAAGACGGTAAGAATTTTCCCCCCGAAATCTCACAGGAGCCGCCTTGGTTTTTGTTATATCTATATATAAATATGAGAATATGTAAACAATAGTCTTAGTCCTAGTCGTGTGCATTTTCTCGGTGGTAAAGTTTATACATCACATTAGAGCCCACCTCCGCAGATTCTTCATTTCTCCCTACACACGTCAACACGGTGCCGTTGTTTTTCTATTGGTACACGTAGTCATCTGCGTGTTCGTGAAGAAGCTGCGCTGAAGCTTTAGCATCCTTAAATAATCCATCAACCAGTTGCACATCCTCAACCTCAATAACAGATCGGCCGTTCGTCTCAGCAATGATAAGCGCAGGCGTCAATAGCTGTGCCACGTAGCGAAGCGAGGTGCGGTCCCCAATTTGTCCAAGAAGCTCAAGCGATGCATCTGAAACCTTTACACCCTCTACTTGAGCACGAATATCGACAATGGAGACAACCTCCTCAATGCTATAGTTGGTTGTGCGCACAATGAGCAGACGGTCAAGAAGATCAGTGGGAATACCGTGAGGTGACCGAACGTCCGTTCCCCGGATACGGCAGCTTCCTCTGTTTGTGGCGAATATTACCACAGGAGCCAGCGTCGACTCCAGCGCCTTGTTCAGGAATGTGAAACACTCAATGTCTAGCATATGCACCTCATCAACGAACAATACTCCAGGAACCAACTCCGCCACCCCCTGGTCAATGTACTTGTTCACAACCTTGTTAATTTCTTGCCGAAGCTTCTCTGTGATTTCCGTCTTTTTGTGTTTCATCATACTGCTTACAATAGAAAGTGCGTCCTGTCCCTGGTTCGGTTTGGCGTTAGCGGCGTCAAGGTCATGAAGCGTCACGTCTTGAATGATCTCCTTTTTCTTATGCACATCACCCTTCGGCAAGGGGACGTACTCGTCTGCTTCCAGGTCATGATCACCAATATAGGCATCAGAACGCCCAACTCGCTTAACCGCCCCGGTGCTGCTCTCAATGTAAATAACATCGCCAACCGAGACCTTCTCCTTCTCTAAGCTCTCGTAGATTGCGGCGTCCAACTTGAGCTGTTTCGATCCCTTGACAGACTTGAGCGTCACAATAACATGGGAGATAGACTTGCCGTAACCCCCCAGAGGGTTATCTGTCTCCTCGGCCCGCAGCTCCGTGACCTCACCCTCGTATACCTCCTTTTGCTCCTTGATACGCAGCCCAATCGCCCGGCGGAAGTTCTCCATCAGCACCTCCGTCTTTTTCACCTCGGCACTATACACTTCGCTGCCGACCATAGGGCAGAATGGCACCTTGGGTCCCAATTCCTTCGCAATACCGAGTGCCAGCGCCGTCTTGCCTGTTCCTGGTGGGCCAGCGAAGAGCAACGCACGACCCGCCATCTTCTTGGACCGCGTGAGCTCTACAACGATGCCAGCTGCTTCGCGTGCTTTCGTCTGCCCCACAAAGCCATCAGCCATCGGCTTTGCCACGCCCTCAGCGTCGAGACCAAGCCCTTTCACGTGGCTGTGGGCCGCCACGCGCTGTCGTTTGGTGGTGGAGATAACCTCCTCAATCTTAATACCGGACATCCCCGCGTGCGCGCCTTGCTTTTTTCTTCTTTACACACTGAAGCGTTCAAAAACACAAAAAAAAATAACAGAACGAAACAAGCACAAAGAGAGAAAGAACAATAAAATAGAATGTTTTGAGGAAATGGAAGCGAGTAACATATAACAGACTCCTTTCGAACACCAGAAGCCTACATGGAGAGTGTGACCGACCGAAGAATGTGAAAAAAAAGTTTATGTGTATCCGTGTGTGGCGGCAGTAGCAAACCACTAGCTAGCTACTAAACACACACACGCACTCTCTCAGACGTCCTCCCTTTCACTGGTAATCTTCGTCAGTTCTTCAAGTGTATCGCGAAGGTCAACTGCGGCGGGGTGGATCTCCGACACATTGCCGTCAATGATACTTCGTGCCTCTTCCAACAGAGCCTTCGCCTCTTTAACCATTCCGATGCGCAGATACCCCCGTGCACATTTAGTGGCAGACATACCAATAGAAATGTGGCGTCCCCTGTATCGTTGCCGTGCGACGTTCAGCGCTTCGCGGTAGTAAGCCGCCTGATTCTCCTTGTCACCTAATTCACCATAGGCATCACCAAGCGCTGTATACGTCGCGATGAGGTGTGTATGTTGGGTGCCAAACGCCCTCTTCTGCACCTCAATGGCCTTCTCTAAGAGCTCCTTCTTGTGAAAATGATTCCCGTTTGCGCCGTGCACATCCGCCAATTCCATGAGTGTCAGCGCCAATTGCGGATTCATGGCCCCCAACTTCTTTTCCTGGATGTCATATGACTGCTGGGCGAGCTGCAGGCGTCTCGCCTGGTTGCCGTTCGCTCCGCATGCCCTTGAAAGCGTCAGCATGGCAATGGTAGTCTGCATATGCTCTGGCCCACAATGACGGCGCACAATGTCGAGGGCCCGCTCCGCCACCTGTAGCTGAGCTTCATATTTACCTAGGTGTCCATATGCCTCGGCAAGCAGGAGGAGTACACGTCCCACCTTGGCGTGCTTTGGGTGGAACTTCTGCTCGTGAATGGCAAGTGATTGAAGAAGAAGTTCCTCCATCTCTTGGTAGCGGCCCATATCCTCGTAGGCGCAAGCCATATTGTAGAGGACCATGCCGTACTGCGGGTGGTCTGCACCGTAGATCTTCTTCACCATATCACGGGAACGTTCGAGAAGCTGAAGCTTTTTGGAGTGATTGCCAATCTCGCCATATGCACACGCCAAGTTGTTTAGACAGTTCATCAATGTGGGGCTGTTGCTTTCAGTGTGATCCTGCGATGCCACTACCGTTTCCCACTGTTTAATTGCATTAACGTAGTCTCCACGCTCAAAGAATTCCAATGCAGACTTGTGCAACTCCTCTGCAGTGAAATCTGTTTTGGGGGGCGACTGCGTGCTGCAGAAACGAGGGACAACAACAACGGCAGCACGTGGTGGCACACACACCAGAGGTGGTGATACCCTCAGCGCGTACGTACTGAATGCCAAGAGCCGCCTCATGACGTGTTTTTACTGTTGCCGACCCCTAGTATTTTCTTTCCTTCTCTCCGGTCGCCTGAGTAGAGCACATGGGGACGCAAAATCAGACGTGTCGGGGTGGGGGAAGCATTGCAACCTCCTAGGCGCAAGCATAAGAGGCCTCTCCATCAGTTTCATTTTTTTTTTGTTTTAATTCCCCGAGAACAAGAGAAAAAGGACAAGCCCAGAGGGTGAAATACTTTACATTGCAACTCGGCCTTCATCGTTTATGTTCTTCACCACACCAAATTTGGCTTCACTCACTCACTCACTCACCTACACGCCAGTGATCCGTCACACTGTGAACTCCACAGCTGAGGGCGTGCTTGATGATCGAAACGACTCGTCCTCCGATAACTCTGCGTCCTCCATGTTGCGCTCGCATGCCATGTGGAGTCGGCGCAGAAACGCCCCAACACACTGCACGCCATCAACACGACAATCCACAATACTGCGGTTCCGCTGCACCAGCCGGAGGAGCGCCTGCACACCGAAGGAGCCAAATGGGTTCCCTGATACATCGATTGTCGTCAGACATGGGAGGTCTTGCAGTGCTTCACACAGGAGCTGAATGAGCGTGGTGGTGAGCCGCTCCTCGCGGAGGTTGATGTGCTCAAGCCACGGACACAGTGGCAACGTGAAGAGGATCGGCAGGAACGCCCGCTGGCTAAGGTACGAGCGGTGCAGGTCCAAGCTACCGCCATATGTACCCTGACTGAAGCGCAGGAATACAAGGTTGGGCCGCTCTCCGCTCATCTCGCAAAGGTACGAGTACTTTCGTTCAGGGATAATCTTCACATCGTCTGGCGCGTCACGCAACGCCGTGCGAAGGAAGTCGCAACGCTGACTGATCTCCACGATATCATCATTGGGTGTTACCGACATCACACCACACGGAATGAACTAATAGGTATCACAAATACATACAGCAGATAAGAAGACTCAGAGAAAAAAGAGGGAAACGTACAGTGCATAGCACCACAAAACAGGACAGACACATTGCGGATGCATACAAATATATATGCACCACCCTTTCGGATGGCTATGCAAATCAAACAACCGCGCAATCCCTACATCGAAATACATAGAAAAAGGATAAATACATCTTTATTTCGTTGTTGCCATTGACAAAAATTACAGTTCCCTCTTCACCTGTGCTTGCCTATATTTCGTTCTTTTCTTCCATAAAAATTACTGTTAATTAGAAAACCTATACACTATCCAATCCATGAACTGGTTTTTGTGCTTGTTGTATAGCTTCTTGTAGGGAACAGGGGTGTATATGTGTCCTTGTGTGAGAGGGCAACACGTGTCAACGGCGCAACAGAGCAGATGGGGCATCCTTCTCATCGACACGCGCCAACTCCATTGCGCTCTTTTCACTGGAGATTGGAAGAACCTTGCCGTGCGTGACAGGCACTGAAATGAGAGACCGAATCGACTTGCCCGTGCGACGTTCAAGGACATCCGCGTAGAAAATGAAGATGTTCTCGCGCCCGTACCATTCCTCGAAGGCATTCGCATTGCGATAACTGAGAGACTTAAAGGCGGATTCCGAGATACAAAGTACACGGCGTTCCTCGCCACCCTTACGCATCGCGAGCTCATACGCATTACCTGCAAAGGCACGAATTTCTTTCTCACTGAGGTTGATGATCTTCTTGTACGTCACTTCCAAGTGGTGGTAGAAGGCCTCCTGCTCCTCCTCTGTGGCGAAGCGCAGGCACGAAAAGCCCCATGCGCAGATGCCTTTGCCGCACCAGCCAGCAAGACTGGTGTGGCACAAAACGTCCTCGCCAGCTTCCATCTCATCCTCTTTGGGATGCCGGGGCAGAACGGCGGTGAAGACAAACCGCTTGTTCTCTGGAATGTTGAGGTTATCGCGACTGCAAACAACGTCGAGGACCTCAACATTGCTGCGACCAGAGAGCGCCATGTACACAAACTCACCATTGTAAGAGAAGTTTAGTGCGCCAAGTCCCTCCAGGATCTTGTCCTGCTTTTCGAAGTCGCGGAGGTCCACGAGCTCCAAGGCATTGTCCTTTTGCTCTCTCAGCTTTCTGTCGAGCTTGTTGAGGAACTGGAACTTGGGCAGCTCACCACGGCGATTGAATGTCATGGGATAGAGAATGACAACACGCCGAGTGATCTCCCCCTTTGCGTTGGTGAAGTGATGAACAGAGATGGAGTCGTTGACAAAAAGAGAATCTCCCTTACCTTCAAACATCCAGCGTGTGGAACGCGGCTCTTCGCATATGGGAAGGCAGATCACCTTGGCCTCGACTTCATTTTCCAATCGTTCCTGTATTTCTTTTTGGAGCGCAATCACCATGCAGTTGTCCTGATGAGCTTGATTCTCACTCACCTCAGGTGTGGTAATAAGCTTATTATCCTTTGCCTTCCTGCTGCTTCCAAAGAAGACGGACTCAACCATCATGATGGTAGACATTTTTGCTGTTATTGGTCTTGAAGATTAGTTTTGGTGTGGAAAAAAAGTAGATCGCTTGAGAACTGTTGTCAAAATAAAGAAAAAAAAAGGAAGCAATCAGTCAATAAAACAATAAGCAACGAGCAATCAAAAATGCTCACATCACTGTATAGTTCTTAAATTGTCTTCCAGTAGAGTTAGGGGTTTGCCCCGTGGGCCTCACGGATTTTCTTGTTAACTCTTTGAGAGGAGTTCCAGCATGAGAAACAGAAACAAACACCCACATAGATAGAGAGGGAGGGTGAGCAGTGTGTGAGAGCGAAATTCTTATTTGTCGAAATAGCTTTACACACCAAACGGCTATTGTGCACAAACCCTTCACTGTCAATTTGTACGGAATTCTCCCGTCATGGATGTCAGCTGTTCCTGCTGCTCCGCCGACAGCCCCAACGCGGCCTCTGTGTGTCTCATGTCCCTGAAGAAGGGCGGAACAAAAGGCCTGGCACCGCGATCCGCGCCCCACGCCGAAAAGACAATCTTACATGCTGTCAAGAGTGCCTCTCCTTGTGTCGTCGTCAGCCGTACTGCACTGTCTCCCGCAACCTGCTTCACATACTGTACGAGTTCGCTTAGCAACTGGGGCAGTTTTGGGTCTCGTGCTCCGCGTTCAATAATTGTCTGGGCAAGCAGCCCCACGGCACTAGCTGAAGCCGTGCCAGCAGGCACTAGCGACTCCGTCACCTTATGTACTTCGGCCCCATTGGCTTCAAAAGCTTCGTCGGGAGGACCAATGTCGACATCAGGGTAATTTTTTTGCGACTTCATACGCTCCTCCATCTCTGACATTGGTGGCTTTCCGAGAATACGCACACGATAAGCCGCAGCTCTCTCCTTCTTGTAGGTGTCGATGGGTGTGTCGCCCAAGCGGGTTCTCCAATGCACCACCGCCTCTTCCTCAACGTTAGGGTCGTAGCCGAACTGCCGGCGAATCACAGCGTACACGTTTGGGTCCGGGGACGACAACATGGCCTCTTCCGTGGTTGGCTTCCGTGCCTTCTTGTATTGTGGCTTCTCCTTCACGCAACTCGAGCAACGCCGCTGGAAATGACGATTGATGGCCCCGCAAGAGGGGCACTTCCAGTCTCCCAGGCGGCACTCGAGCGGCATCGTTCCCTCCTCCCCTGGGGGGTGATACAAACGACAGGCATCACCCCAAAAGCAACGACCCTGCAGGTAGTCCATGCATGGCTGTCCGTAATCATTCAGGCCTTCCTCATCCTCCAGTGCCATCTCCTCCGCCTTCCACTGCTGCTCTTCCTCTTCCTTTTGCTGCAACACCTCTGCGGGGTGTGCGCATGCCCACAGACGGTCCTTCTTCGCTAACCAGAGAGCATCCACCACGTGCCGTGGAAAGACACCCTCCCAGTGCTCCACAAGGCTCTCGTACTTGGGGCCAAGAACGGGATCTTCGTAAGGGATGTAGTCCCGACCAATCTCAAGGATGTACTTGCCCGCAGTGTAACCGTACTTGTCACGGTCCTCTTTGCACAACTTGTCCAAGACGTACCAGCATGTCAACTGCTTGTTTCCCGTCCATGACTTGATGTGACGGAAGAGCACGCCAACGACAAGCTCAAAGGCCATTTCGTTGTCACCCACGCCACGGGCCAACTCAACACATTCCGTCACCGTCTTCTTGCCCGGCTTCTCCGCTGTGCGGAGGCGGGCACAGAGCAACGCAAAGTGCCGCAGTGTGTCGCGATCGATCGACGGGGGCTCGCGGAAGTACTCTTCACCACCACCAAACATCTTTCCTTCGGAAAGAGAAATACACTCTATTACAATGATAAAGGCAAAACAACAACAACAAAAATGAACAAGAGAACGTTGACTCACTAAATGCATGGGTGAATGATAGAGCAAGCGAGAGAAAGAGAGAGACACAGGAAGCGACTACGCAAGAGTAGAAGACACCATACAAGTGCATGGGACAAAGCTGTGAAGGAGACAGCACGACACCACCGTTTCCCTTGTGACGTCCTCATGATCTCCCTCTCTATGTTGGACGCAACCCGACCTCTTACCGTACAATTGGGCGCAAAACCTCTCTCCGCTCCGCACGCAGGGCCTCCACAACAGCTCTCATATGCTCCACCTCGCGCTTGTAGTCGGTAATGGTCGACTTCATGCACTCCTCGCGCAGCGTCATTGCAGTCAGCTTCTGCCTGAGGTCTCGTATCTCTTCATTGCGGTGCTTCACTCGCACCGCCTCTTCGTTCGCCCGCTGCTCCAGCGCAATCACACGATCAACAAGACGCACGCGATCTGCCTGCATCGCCGCAACCACTTCTTCCGCCTCGGCACGCACAGCATCTTTGTATTCCCGTGCGAGGTCGTCGAGCGAAGGAAGCGGCACTTCTGCTTGCGTTGCCTTGTCGAACGAAGGGGGCGGCGGTAGCCGTATCTGCGGCGATGCATCGGCACATGGTGTCATCATCGGTAGTGAGAGACGGGCTACGACTCCAGGCGTTGACTCGGCGTGAAGGGAACGCATCGCGTCGTCGGTGGTGACAGCAGTAGCAGTAGGAGCAGCAGCAACAGCGGCAGCGGCGATGGCTTCAACGGAGGGTTTCGAGCTGCATGTTAGGCCAGGCGTCATGTCCGTCGCGGCCCTCGACTGCGACCACACAGCGCAAGAGCCATGCAGCTGCTCTGAAACCGTCCTGGCATCTGGAGTGGAGCGCCTAGGACCGCCCGGTGCGGACATCTTAGGTTCCGGCACCAAGCCATCGTTCCCGCTGCTCCTGCTTCTACTGGTGGTGGAAGCCGCAACTGTAACCAGAGGTGTCGCCCCTGCTGTCACTTCTTCTACCTTTGCTGAGTGATTGTTCGAGCGGTATTTTGCCGCCGCGATGCGACTACGCAGCATTTCACACCAGCGACTCCACGTTTCAACCAACATCCTCGCACGACGGCTCGCCGCAACGGTGTTTATGCTCTGTTGCTCATACGTACGCCACCTCCATCGCATGAGAAGCTGTCCGAGACGAAATGACCTGGGGGCGTACGATATTCGCGCCTGCTCGCGCCACAATCGAAACAGTACACGTTTCCGCTCCGTCCGTGGGAGAAGCTGCAGCGTGGTGGTGATGGCGTACGGCGTTGGGAGTGAAACCGCAAGAAGGCCCGCGAGCCGTTTTTGAATAAACGCCGCGCAGAGTGTGTTCTGCCGTCTATGCCACGCCCTCACCTGCCACTTGTACAGGACACGCTGCTTCAGACGGCGGTGCAGAACAAAGAGCAGCTCCTTCCCCCGTGCTTGTTCCTTCTGCCCCAACGTGGGGAACGGGACAGGCGCCTCGCGTGGCGTCTCGACGGACACCTTGTCGCTTGCGCGTGCATCCTCCTCTCCCTCCTCCTGCTTCCCATTTACCTCGGCGCATCTCATTGCAGCGACGTCCCCGTTCATGCGGTGCAACTCGTGCCACGAGAACTCTAGCACGTGGCAACTGGACTCTTTCGAGTCGTGCGTGGCGACGACGTCTTCACGCTCCACCGCCCGTTGGGCGATGGGCGAAATGCCGCACAGAGACGCGGCATCTTTATCAGTCCCTGCATCAGCGTGCACGCCGGGGCTCAGCGCGATGCGCACAAGCTCCTCTTGCGTCAAGTCCGTCATGTAATGCATCCCGCTGTGCACCTTCCCTTTCTTGGCTGGATTCGGGGAAGGCTTCCTGTTTACGATAGGGGTGTTGTTATGTTTCTGCCGCTGGTGAAAACTCCACGCATCTACCTTCGCGACCTGCATGAACCACAGCTTATTCAGGTGGTCCACGTCCATCACCGTCAGCTCCTCATCAAGTGCGTGAGCGATGCTGAGGAGGAGGGCACAGATGTGGTGGTCGAGGGACGCCATGACGCGACGGAAGACATCCTTTGACCAATCCTTGCAGAAAGCGGTGAGTGCAGCCTTATTGGGGTTACGCAGCGATATGAAGTTGGAGCTTGAGAGTGAGTGACTGAACGATGCGGCCACACGTGACATGTCTGCGTCAGATGGGGTGTCACCGACAAGTGAGTTCTCAACGGTGTTGGGTGCTGTTGCAGAGGATGTGGCGCACAGTCGGCACCTCCCGCCCATGAGGCGCCGTGCCAGGTGCGTGGCAGCGCTCACGTCGACCAAGGATAACAGCTGCGCTGAACACCGCGTGACAACGTTCTCAACCGTTAGACTTACAACGGGATCTTGCAGTATGAAACCACGGCGGCGCAGCTCGTGGTGCAGCGCTATCCGCTGCTCCGCCTCTGTCAGCAATGCTAAGAAACGCATGCGATGGACAAGTTCCCCCATAGTGACCTTCTCGCGCTGGAGACACTGCGCGGCCCGCTCCACCTCAGCTGGGAGGACAGGACGGGTGTCCAGTTTCTTTAGGCGGCAATTCTTCGGATGCAGGCACTCCGGCCACGAGCAGATGCGCAGTATGTGGCCGCGGTAGTGAGGCAGTGACGTTACAGGGTTGAATTCAAGCGAGAGATACTGCAGCGACGGCAAAAGCGAGAGTGCTTCGCAGTCCTCAATGCGCTGCACCTTGTTGCCCAATAGGGAGAGCCGCACTGTGCTTCGAAACTGTATGATGCCTAGAAGACTCGTGAGCCGGTTGCGGGAGAGCAGCACTGTGTGGAGGGAAAACGCCAGCGCGGTGTTCATTCCAGCACTGTTGAAGTCTAAGTCGTCCTCTTTCGCCGCGTCGTGTGGCGGAAGTTCCGCCACGGCGCGACGCACCTCATCAGGCGCAGCGGTTGAGAGTAACGACAGCACCGTCGGGTGAATGTCGATCTCGACGATGTCCTGCGAGACGCAGTTCAGGCGCTTGAGGCTCGAGTCGATGACATCAGGACTAATCTGGAGGCGCCTAGAGAGCCGCATTCTTCACCACTCTTCAAATTGGATAGGAAGCCTCACAGTTTATGTGCCTTTTTCTCTCTCTCAACCCCTCTCCCCTTCCCCACCTCTGTTTGTGTGTGTGTATCTATACAGAGTGGTATGCGTGCGCAACACGCTCGCACTATATTGCCATGTGTAATAAGAATGAAAAACACAACAGATCCCCAAAAAACCCGCATTTATAAAGCTCAACAGAAACAGATGTAATTTGCATACACCTCCGGTGAAAGCGGTCGGGTTTATATATAAGGGAGGAAGCACCACCTAATGATCCACGTGGACCTTCTTACTTCTTCTCGCATCCTTTTTGAAGCAGCTCCGTTACACCTACACTGTATCAATGGAACATTATATTATGAATGCTTTGTTCTCTTCCACACAGGTGGACACAATTTAAGCTTTTTTGTTCTTTCTTTCTCCTCCACCCCAAACATCCACGCTGTCGTCAACACGATGAATAAGATGTGACCAACAACAACAACAACAACAATAATCACGCACAAATATAAATATATACACGAAGAACCTCTCCATAATAATTGGGGTGCATCTTTGAAAAAGTAACCCTTTTCTAGCTCTCCCAATTTTATTTGCTCCTCTTCGCCCACCCAGTTGCTAATTTCCAGTGTGTACAGCTCATTTGTCAGACAGTGACGAACAACAGACCTCAGAGAGACTTCGCACCACACAGCTCTTAGCACAGCGCACTGATGGGAACGTCATCATCGCTTTCTTCTGCTTTCACCGCAGGGTTCCCGTTGCGGCCACGCTTCACACCTTTCCTTTCAACCTTTGTTGCAGTGTTGCTGCTGCCGCTGCTCGCCTTCGCCAGAATGGTGGAGAGCGGCACATCGTCATCATCGTCGGAGTCAGTTTCTTCCTTCTTCGCATTTCTACTGTTCCGTTTTGTGGCTGGTGACTTCTTCGAATTCCCTGAGCTTTTCTTGGTAGAAGATCTTGTGGACTTTTGTGATTTCTTTTTTCCGCCCTTACTCTTACTCTTACTGCCGCTGCGGCTCTTCTTGCCTTTACCCTTAGAGCCGTTGGAACTTGATTTTGTTCTGGAAGACCTCAGGCGCGGCATACCACGGTTCTTAACGATCTCGTCATATTCCTTCTTTTGCTCTTCCGTGCCGTACGCCTCGAGCCATTTGTACTGCATCTCATCCTGCTCCGCGAAGAACTCCTTTACTGCCTGCTCCAACGACTTCTTCTGCGCCGTCTCTTTGGCACGTTTGAGAGACTCTATAATCCTGCGCGTGTAGCTTGATTTAGTTGTAAGCTGGTGCATCGTGTTTCGGTGGTTCTTCGGTATTGACTTTTGATGGTTACATAGAATGGCAACTTCGGTATTGGCCTTGTTGAAGTACGCGAGTTTGTCTGCCAACGAGGACGACGGTGGCACTGGCTTCTCCTTGAACCAGCGGTCTAGTGTGATGGATGCGTTGTATGTACGAAATACCTTCGCGCTTAGGTCACTCATGAACGATTTCAGGTGGTCATTGAGCACCGCGGGTGTAATTAAATCAAATATATCGTGGTGTTGCTTCTTCCCTTTCGTGAATCGGCGGAGCAGTTCATAAACCTGGGGAAGTACCACGGCCTCATTCTCATAACGGATCGAATCTTTGCCGAGAAAGTCGAACTTCACTACATGACCGGGTTTAAGTTCAATGTGTTCCACGCGAAGGGAGCAGCAGCCTACCGTGTCAGCCTCGTCGGACCCCTTTTCATTACCCACACGAAGCGCAAGCTTGTCAATGAAATATGTGGCCACAGCGCGCTGGGCTTTCATTGCGTCGCGTGAGTTGAAATCCTCGGTATAAGACGCGCGGATATCATCAACGTAGTTCTTCAGCTGCCTGGCCTTCTCAAACTTAAGCATATCCGACTGACCCTTAATCGTTGACGACGGTGCGAGCATGACGTACTTGAAGTTGCCAATAATGGAGTCACGCCACATTGCGAGCCATGTCACGTTGTGATCGTGGAGCACTTCCTTCCAGCGGTGCCCAGCAGGCGGCTCGGGGATGGGCGAGAACTCATCTATGTTGATCGTGATATCCTCGGGCCGAACGCGCTTTTTCAGCTTTCCCATCATTGGGTGCTGCCCACGCCCGCGGAAGAGCCCTGGTGGCTCCACGCGGAAGTTTGCCACCTGCTCCTTCTTGCCGTCCCAGTAGCACCACTTGTACGGTTCCGCATCCGCCTCCGCTTCGAGCTTCAGCTGCTTCTTTTCCTCCCGAGTGCGGTTTTGTTTCTTCTCACGCTCACGCAGGTGCCACTGGTAGATAGGCTCAAAGTCGCACAGCTCCAGGAGTCGAATTGGGTGCTTGCGCTTATCAAGTATCTCCCGCCAGCTGTGGAAGAAGTTGCGGCGAAATATTTCATTTCGGTAATAGTCATGCTCCCGCATCACAGCAAACATCGTCGCCACTTCCTCCTCCTCTGGTGTCATCTTGAATTCACGGCCTTCGTAGTAGATGGGGAGGCCGTGGGGCCTGTACTCCGGCGGGAACATGACGCCGTTATGGCACAACGTGTCCCACCGCTTCTCGCCCTTTGTGGTGAAGTGGACGTTTTCCTGCTCCCACCAATTGAGTTCCTCTTCATTCTCGCTGGTGTCAGCGTTGCTGTCTTCCTCCTTTACCACCACGTCTTTTTTTACCGCCTTTTCCTCCTTCTTCGGCATCACTCCCACCGTGTCTTTTAGGCGTGCCCGCCGAAACACACTCACGTACACATCACGATTGATCAGACAAGCAAAGTAATAAATGAAGAAAGGAAAGAACATAGGAATCAGAAAGATTAGTCTTACAAGCTACACCAGCAACTGCAAAGCACCACCAAGCTTGCCATCTCCCAGTAAGTAGGAATGAGTGAGTTAAGACACCTCTAAACGCACAGAGATTATTACTCACAACAGAGAGACACATCCGCAACGAAGGGGCGCAGTTAACGCCTCACAATCACAGTTAATCTACTGAAAGCAATGCCATTCAACCTTCGATTGTTGGCCACTGGTGGCAGTGATATATGACCACAGTAAACCAGAAACGAGAGGCCAGGATCAACTTAAATACGAAGCCAGGCCCCATACCTCTCCATAAACCACCACCATTATGCCACGGGGCATAATCGCACACACAGAGACAGACACAGAGATAGGCGCACAGACATACACCCCCCCCCAAAAAAAAAAAAA